AATGGGTAGTTTTTAATTTTTATTTAAAATTTTATCGTATAATTTAATACTTATTAGTTAGAATAAATTCTATTTTAGTATAAACCCAACTTTAAAGCATTTAATAGTTATTATAACCTATTAGTTGTCAAGTTTTTTGAATTCTCGTATACTTGTATTTTGATTGGTCTTTTCTGCTCATGTGACAGCGTTTCCCCTTACGAGGGGGGGGTAATTAAGTTGAACCTTTTAAAACCTTTTATTCTACAATCTACATTCAACATCATCACTTGATAAGACACCAGAGGTGTTGAAACAAAATGGCTATTTTTGTAGTGATTTTATAACATATTTCTATTATAATTTTTTAAATAAATAATTATATATATATATATGTGTGTGTGCGTGTGTGCGGGTGGGTGTGGACTCTCCCATCGTATTCGACGTATGAGGGTCAAGCACTTGGAAAGGACAGTCAGACACCAGCACCTTTGATTTGATTCTAGTGGCGATTGCTTTGTGCAGAACTAACCACACATTTTGAAGGGCCGAATATAGAGACCCAGTACACAATGGGCCATGAGGTCCCCAAACGACCCTCTGTAAGTTTTGAATTCAGAGTTTTCATTCTCCTAGACCAGTTGCAATACAAGTCTATAGTACCCAGTATGTCCTGCTATTTACCCATAACTGGAGGGAGAAGAAGACGATTAATACCTTTCCCAAGTGAATTAGCACGTATGTGAATGTAATGGATTCGTGTGTAATTCGAACTCAGCTCTCCGACATATATATATATATATATATATATATATATATATATATATATATATATATATATATATATATATATATAATTATTTATTTAAAAATATGATTACAAATCGCTACATAAGAGGTCTCATGTTCACAAACTTCAATCTTCCATGAATCTCGTACATTCATAACTGCTCTGGCGTATCAAATGTAAACAAATGACGTCATATATTAAGAAATGGACAAAGGCCCGACAATTTATTTATTAAAGACATTTTTTATGTTTAACGTTGTTATTTATAGATATAAACAACGTTGTCATATATAGATATAAACATAAAAAATGTCTTGAAGTTTATAAGCAGTAAATTCGACCTTGTCTGCCAAAAAGGTTCTTTGTGGCCCAGAGGTAAGGCACGTCAGCGTAAATGACGGTTCCGTATAGGATGCAGGTTCGAATCCTGTCAAAGAACGAATATTTTCTATGAAAATTTCTCGGACATTCAGGCCGGTAAATGTTATTTAATACTGTTTATCATAAACAGAGCATTTGCTTAAATACTTGTATCTATAAATAACAACGTTAAACATAAAAAATGTCTTTAATAAATATATATATATATATTTACCGGCTGTAACAGCAAAATTGTCCACGTTTTCAGATAAGACGTTTAGACATCTTGACACCGTTTGTTTTAAGAATCACTGCAAAAAACCTTTGGGTAATTCAGCTAGAAAGAGAACAGGTTAAAATCGCTTTGCGTCAGCCTCACTACGTCTTTCTAACTGAGCAATGGTGAGAGGAAAATGGTCAGTTAGGCCTTCAGTAATGGTACCAACATTCATATTCTGGCTTCTATCTTCAAGAATCATCAAGAGAACGAGGAGTAAGTTTTAAAAAAGTGGAAGCATTAGAGAGGAAATCTGGATCAGGGGGTGACAACAACAAGAGGAATCATTATTTCAACTTAGAGCTAAATATATTCTTATCGTTCAAAGTTGTCTCCAATAGTGTTAAAAAAACCTCTAAGAATTCCAGTAAGACATCTTTAATCATTTCTAAGATACAACGGTTCAAATCTTAATCTAACAATTGGACAATTTTGGTGTGACACGATTAGGACAATTTTGGTGTGACACTCGATATATATATATATATATATATATATATAGCTTAGAGGCGACAGGCTGTTTGATGGTAGACGCAAATGTCATGTTCACTTTTATATTTACACACGCTCTATCTCTGATATTGAGCACTTTATCTCATAAATATAGCACACCTTAAGAGTATATTTTTTATATATATATATATATATATATATATATATATATATATATATGTATGTATGTATGTATGTGTGTGTGTGTGTATATATATATATATATATATATATATATATATATATATATAGTTCACAATAATAACTTTTTTTTTATTTATAGATAATTATAGATCTAGTTATCTATTGACAAAACTCCAAACACCATGAAATATGTTAAATTGCATTTACTTCAGAATCGTTCACGAAATACAAGAGGCATGAATCCTTCAAGGAAGAAATTTATTAACTGGGGTTGTTGTAAATACGAGGATGGGATAAAGTGGTACGATTTAAACGCGTTTGTTTTTAATCGTTTCAACCGAAAATAAATTTAATTTGGTAAATAAAAGCCACGATCCCCACACACGTCGCATAGGAGAGGTTAGCAGTAGCTAATTGAATTAAAAACCAAACGATAGAATTGTGTACCTGGCTTCGAAATTCAGGCGGGTATAAAAGCTGACAGCTTAACAAGAAATGAAACTATAAAGGTCAAAGTTCACTGCTGTCAAAATGGAAGGTTGAATGTCATAAAGCAAATACTTATCAAACAACCTGAGACTTAGAAATTGCCTAATCAGTCTCAAGCTTGGCACGTTTTTTTTTTCTGATGGCTGATAATAACGATCATAAATGACAGGTAAGTCATCAATAGAAATACAACGACTGAATCTCTTCTCTTCTAGAAACTGCGCATAACAAATAGAGGGGTTGGACAAAATAATTGGAACACTTGTTAAATTCAAAAGAATTTATTTAATATGGAGTCGGTCCTCCTTTAGCCTCACATACAGCTTTATTACATCTAGGAATGGAATCATCCAGAGGAATTTTCGATATTCTGCCATTAAAACCTTCTCCAGCTCTTTACGACACGATGGTGGAGGATAGCGGCTCCTAACTTGTTGCTGCAAAATGCACCACGGATGTTCAATAATATTGATATCTTGAGATTGGGGAGGCCACTCCATGTGTTCTAGCTCACTTTTATGCTCTTCATACCAATTCTTAACCACTCGAGCGGTATGTATTGGAGCATTATCGTCTTAGATGATGCAATCATCATAAATAAAGGGAATAAAGTCTTGGCCATTGGATGAACATGATCTCCCAAAATGTTCAGGTAATCTTTGCTGTTGATTCTCCCATGCAGGGCAACTATTGAACTGGGACATTTCCATGATATGGCGTCCCAAACTATCACTGATCCGCCTCCATGCTTCACTGTTGGAAGAAGGCAGTCAGGGTTGTAAGCTTCTTTGGGTTGCCTCCACACATAAACTCACCCTGAAGTTGGGAAAAGAGAAAAACTGGTCTTGTTTGAGAATATGACTTGCTTCCATTTGTCTGCAGACCAGGCATTGTGATCTCTGCACCAGTGGAGAGAAGAGGTTTCCTCACAGCGGCTCTTCCGTGATATGCAGTCGGATGGAGCTCACGGTGAACAGTTTTAGTAGAAATTGAACTATTCAGATGGTTATTCAATTCAGCAGTCACTTCGCCGCATTTGTCCGATGTTTTTTTGCCACATTGCGTTTCAATGTACGTCAGTCCCTGTCAGTAAGTTTACAAGTCCGGCCCGAATTGCTACGGTTGCTAGAGTTTTTGCCCTGTTTCTCGAATTGCATCAGTGTTCTTGATATGGTAGCTCTTGACAAACCAAACATTTCAGCAACCTTAGTAATCGAGGCTCCTGCCATGCGAGCTCCAACAATTTGCTCTTTTTGGAACTAGGAAAGGTCACGCATTTAGCTTAAATTTTACTAAAAATAAACAAAGACAGTATATTAGATAAATAAACGTATTTACAATAGTTATAACCTGCAATTACGAAGTTTTAGCTAAATTTCTTAATATAATAAGTCTTTGAAATATAGGAGTGGATTTTGCAACCATTCCAATTATTTTGTCCAACCCTTGTATGTAGATCCCTATCAATATTCACAACATGTGTAATAGTTTCAGTTACTATTCAATGGTATATGTTTTAAACTAAAGTTGTGTTTTTAACAATTATATTCTTACTGTACACGACCTAAGAGTCACTCGAGGTAGAGCTTTAAAGAATAAGAAGTATCACCCAAAGCAACAGGCAAAGGGTGATTGGAAATAAAAACAGAATAAAAATACTTTAGACGAAAGACAATCTTAAACAGGAAACAAGGGATAAACCACTACTCCTGCTCAAAAACCTGCGAGGAGTGTGAACCGGACGAGAGACAAACCTATCTACTCCTATTGAGGAAAAAATAAATAAATAGTAAATGAAATTTCAGTTTTAGGCGGAGACGTTAGAAGTATAAAGTTGAAGTAGACTTTCGAAAGAACCGGAAACCCAATCCTAAACAGGAAACAATAGATAAATCTTTACTCCTGTTCAAAAGACCGTGGGAACCAGACGACAGGCAAACTTAAGACAAGGCTCGAGAACCACCCAAGGTAACTGAACGAGTTGTGTGATATGAATGTAAGAGGAGGTGATAGGAATGAGGACGAGAGAGAGAGAGAGAGAGAGAGAGAGATTTCGACTGAAGCTAATACTCACCTAATTCGAGAGCATCTCAAGGTAGAGTTAAATTGTTTATGATGAATGAAGTGTGTGAATGAAAGAGAAATGGTAGATTATGAGGATAAGGAGGATAGATAACGATTTATCCGCAACTTCAAGACGTTAATAATATTGTATTCAGGGAATCTTTCAGTGTCAATCTATAATTCCAATGTAGCTGTACTTAGGAAGAAGCTAAGTTGAACTTATAATTGGAATATGGAAGACATGACTGTGATTTGAAATCGTGAACGGAGAATGATGTGTGCCAGCTGTAAAAGTCTGTCTGAACTGGTGAAGAAAAATGTCTCAACGGTGGAGGAAAAAGTATTAACTGATGGAGAAAAAGTCTGAACTGGTGGAGGAAAAATTAGAACTGGTGGTAGAAAACGTCAGAACTGGTGTAGGAAAATGTCTGAACGGTGAAGGAAAAAGCCTGAACTGGTGGCGGATAAAGTCTCAACTGGTGGAGGAAAAAGTCTGAACTGGTGGAGGAAAATGTCTGAACGGTGAAGGAAAAAGTTTGAACTGGTGGAGGAGAAAGTCTGAACTGGTGGAGGAAAACGTCTGAACTTGTGGATGAAAATGTCTGAACGGTGAAGAAAAAAGCATGAACTGGTGGCGGATAAAGTCTGAACTGGTGGAGGAAAAAGTCTGAACTGGTGGAGGAAAATGTCTGAACTTGTGAAGGAAAAAGCCTGAACTGGTGGAGGAAAAAGTCTGAACTGGTGGAGGAAAATGTCTGAACGGTGAAGGAAAAAGTTTGAACTGGTGGAGGAAAAAGTCTGAACTTGTGGAGGAAAATGTCTGAACGGTGAAGGAAAAAGCCTGGACTGTTGGAGAAAAAAGTTTGAACTGGTGGAGGAAAAAGTCTGAACAGGTGGAGGAAAAAGTTTGAACTGGTGGAGGAAAATGTGTAAACGGTGAAGGAAAAAGCCTGAACTGGTGGCGGATAAAGTCTGAACTAGTGGAGGAAAAATTCTGAACTGGTGGAGGATAAAGTCTGAACTGGTAGTTGAAAAAGTCTGAACTGGTGAAGGAAAAAGTCTGAACTGGAGGAGGAAAATGTTTGAACGGCGAAGGAAAAAGTCTGAACTGGTGGTGGAAAAAGTTTGAACTGGTGGAGGAAAAAGTCTGAACGGTGGAGGAAAAAGTCTGAACTTGTGAAACTAAATAAATGAGATAATCTGAACATTGAGATAGCGATAGAATAACTTGTTATAAGTTATTCATATAATATAAGTTATTCATAACTTGTTATAAGTTATTCATAACTTGTTATAAGTTATTCATAACTTGTTATAAGTTATTCACAAGTTATTGTGAGGTTCCCTCACAATAACTTGTGAGGGAACCTCTTTAGAAAATAGATTGAAAATTACCGCGTAAATGATTTAATAATCGGAGATTGGTTTATCTCACTCACTACTATGTTCAAAATGTGATCTCTACGATGTTCTTTTAAAAAGTTCTAAGTCTTATCCAGAAGAAGTTGTTCCCTGTTTTTCAATATAGCCTCCCTTGATATCAATTCACTTTGGTCCAATGATGCTTAAGAATTGCAACCACATCACTGAAGAAGATGGCATCTTGATCCTCCTAAAAATCCTCCATAGCACATACGATGTCATAATTGTTTCCAAAATGGCGCCATGCAGGTGGAATTTGAGTTTAGGAAACAAGAAGTAGATAGATAGCGTTAAGTCTGGTGAGTAAGGGGTGTGGGGTAGCAATTCAATGCCACACAGCAATCTGAGCAGCGTAAACAGGCGCATTATCGTGGAGCAAGAGCACACCTACTCTCAGCCTCTCTCTGCGTTTCGTTTGATAGCTTTCTTTACTTATTTTAATTCCAGTGTATAATACTGCATATCAATGTTCTTTTTTCTCTTTTCCCTTTTTTTTTGTCTATCGTAATTACGCATTCAGAACCCCTCCCTAAAAAAACCCATAAAAGAGAAGGTGCCATCACCTTGCCAACAGATGCTGCCTGCTTGATATTCTTCAGCAAGGGAAAACCAGAGTGTTTCTACTGTTTGCTTTGAATCTTTAATTCAGGTTCGAAGTTGATGAAACAAGGTTTCATCTAATCTGCGGAGTAAATTCTCAGTCAGCCTGGAAGAGAGTCAGAAGAATTCTGGTAACGTCAACAGTTTTCAGCTTCTCAGTGAAAATAGTATGAATCGAACCAGAACTAATGTCTATGCACAGTAAGACGTCTGTCATTCAAATCCATACGTTGAATGGTATCAACTTGTTCCATCAGTGGTTGAGTTTTTGGACCACCTGACCAAGGGTCATCTTCTGATCAGTCTCTGCTCCGTATGAATTCCGCAGCCCACTTCTACACAATTGCATACGAAGGATAGTCTCCAACAATTGTCGGTATCATGTCCACATAGATTTATATGGGTGTCATACCTTTCTTTTGAAAATGCTTTTTAACTGCTGGGGTTTGTGTTTTGTTTATTTTTAGATATGTCGCACACTTTTCACATTTGTATGGGTCTCAACTTCGCAGAAATTAAGACAGACATCTGATGTAGTTTTTCTAGAAATGTCATGTGTTTCCACAACAGATATGTTCAGCTATGGCTCTTCTTATAAATTTTTGAATGACCCTAGTAAATGAAAAATATTTTTAAAATATATTGGATTTTTATGAATAACACTGGAAAACAGCGAATCAATCTCCTTCATTCATTGAAATTTGAACCCGCGTTGCCGATAACCACTTGGCTAATTGGCAAAGTTGTAAGCGAAACATTTTGGCGGGAAATAAAACATGAGGTCTGTTCGAAAATAATCCTACCATTTTGAATATTTCAATAACCGAGTGAGCGGGATTTTTGTAATATCTTTACCAGTTGGAGGAAAATTTACAGAACCACCTATGAGATATAAAATTTCATTTTTTGATTGGGTAAGGTTCTCTAGGTTTTTGGGTTGGGTCCATCAACGTGAATGTGTTAAATTATCAACTAAGCATGATGCTAAGTTGAAAAGTTTGGTTCACAAGAAAGTTACAGCGGAACCTAATTTAAATAATATTATCAATTTGTCCTCTCATGAATTAACTGAGCTACAAACGTTTTTTCTTACTCATGGGTTGGACTTTTGCATTCCACCCTCTATGCCTGATAAGGAGAAGATTTTTTTCAGAGTTCCAGGTCTTCTATGCACAGTTGGCAAGCCTGTCTCCTACTTCTGTTGATGCGGTTTGCGATTTGAAAGCCCAGTTAAATAATTCCACACACATGTTTTCTAGTTTCTCTGTTGCTACCGCTGAATCGAAATGGGAAGCTGAATATCAGCGTGTGGTTAATTCCCTGAGGAATAATTATGATTTAATAATTTCCAGATCAGATAAAGATGCTGGAATTATTGTTTTAGACCGAGCAGATTACGTAGCCAAGATGGCTTCGATTTTAGAAGATACTTCGAAATTTACCAAGCTAGGATCCGCAGATACTTGTGACAGAACTACCTCAGGTGAAGTAAAATTTAAGAAATTACTCTTAAAGTGGGTAAAGACTGGGGTGCTTCCACAAGAAATTGCCAATGAAATTCGACCGTCTGGTTCGATTCGTCCCTGTCTGTATGGGCTCCCAAAAATCCATAAGGATGGGGTACCATTACGACCAATTTTATCAATGGTTGGTTCAGCCCAACACAAGGTAGCCCAATGGCTCCAAATGCTTTTGGAACCAGTGTTGCAGTGCTTGAGTGGGTTTTGCATAAAGGATTCATTTTCCTTTGTCGAGCGTATTCAAAATTTGTCTTCTTCGGGCAAGTTCATGTGTCCTTTCATGTCTGTTCTCTATATATTTGTGTCCCTCTTATGGAAACTATCAACATTTGCTGTGATTTGTTTTATCGCAGTTCATTATCCCCACCAAATATTCCTGGGTCAGTATTTTTTGAGTTGATGAAATTTGCCACGTCTTCTGTTGAATTTAGTTTTAACAACACCATGTTTCGACAGATTGACGGGGTTGCTATGGGTTCCCCTTTAGGTCCGGCACTTGCTAATATATTTCTTGGCTTTTACGAAGAAAAAAGACGGAAGAATGCACTGTATCCTCAGCTGTCACACACACACACACACACACACACACACACACACACACACACATATATATATATATATATATATATATATATATATATATATATATATATATATATATATATATAATGACAGTAAGATTTATAATCCTGTTTTCTTATTAATTATTTGTAGTTTTTTTTAAAAATAACAGTGTTCAATACAATTCTGCAGAGTATAAATATTATAAATTTACTAATTTAAAATTAGCGATATTTGGAATAACTTATTTTGAAATTTACTGAGTTTATAAGTACATGCATTCTTGATATTAGTTGCTAAGGTTACGGGGAAATTCAATCATTTTGACAAAGGGTGGTAGTATATTCATTTTTACTTTTTTTGACAACCTGTGGATCAGAATATGAGTAACTTTCCAAAAGAGGTTAAGTTAAGGTAAGGTAGGGTTACTTGTTCAACAAATGATGACATCAGTTTTTCGCTCGTCGACTGTTTTTTTTTCATTGACGAAAAGTTTTACGGCACTATCATTTATTCCCAATATATATATCGGATGTGTATCCACAATGATGAGCAGTGAAACATCGAAAGTGTCTGCTGATGACAATATATACATGCTCCTGAAAAAGAATTATTTAGGTTGAGATCTTCGGGGAGAAAAGTGAAAAAGTGACTATTACAACTGCTGATGCAAGACTCTCCCTTAAGACGAATCGAGTTCTCCCGTCACTGGCGTGTTTATCTGAAAATGAATACGTCTATATTCGCCTTCATCCCTGCCGGCTTAGGGGTAGAATCTCTGACTGATACCAAATCTGTCAGGTTTCGATCCCGGCTTGAGGCAATTCGATGTCTAACCTCACTGATGGGCTGTGAAACAGCAGAACAGTCTGTCTTTGGATGACAGTATATATATATATATGTACACATTTTTTCTGGATGCGGGTGTAAACACGAGCATCCTAAGCCCGAACTTGTGATTTTTTATCTTTTGGTTTCTTTTCAAATGTGCAGCCTTGAATGTACATCCAGAAATAGGGATTACTTCCTGCTATATCTTTACCTATGTGTGTGTTGGCCACCCTATCACTGGTTGTGTGTATTCCTGAGCGCTAGAACAAATAATGTGATTTGGGCCGCTATCGACTTGAAGTTGGTGACTACAATTAGACAAGTAACGAATTGGAGTGATCGGTACTAGCAAAACAAACAGTCGTCTAAGTAGAAAGAGCTTTATTAGATCGATGATCAACGCTCGCACCATTCCCTACCACTCACCGGGCACCCAGCTACGATCCCCGCTCAGCCCATACTACCTGCAAGCTCTCCTCGTAGACATCCACACGCTCCAACACTTTGCCTACTGCTCCACCAAAGGCGGGAAGGTTGCCACCATGAGCTTCAATTCTCCCGCCAATTCTTCTTAAAGCAGATTTTTCGTCGCTTCTTCTAGTATTTTGTTTTCTTTTGTTCTCGTCAAACTTTTCGCAGATTTTTTTTTCAAAATCCCGCCAAATGTTTGTTCAGTGGCTTGTTAGATGATTTGTTTATTTGATTTTCTCGACTAAATCAATTACAGCCGATCCGATTTTTACTTACCTTAGTATCTATCTACCTACATACCTATCTATCTATCTGTCTGTTATTGCTTATTCTTATTTGTACTGGGGGATAAGATATGTGCCCGGAAAGATTCTAGACATTTTGCATATCACATGAACTGGTTGCGCGGCTTTGCAGTAAATCTAATTTAACATAAAATTAAATGGAATTACCGAAACGGACATTAACATTAGAGTGTAGTTATCAATGACGTAAGCATAGTTTCACATCTCACATTTTTAGATAAAATCAAAGCTCAGATAACTTTGTATGATGTCAGGGACCGATTTGACTAGTGTTTATATTGTGAATAGGACCCCCTTATAATGTTATGTAGGAATAAAGTGTCGCTTCCGACACTAGAGTTTGAACAAAGATCGCAAGTGAGTAAACACATGCGATCCCATTATTGAATTATGTAGACCACGTGACCATAGAGGAAATGTATATATGGGAGGTAGCAGGTGTTTAATTGCTCTACATTTCTAGTCTATCCTCTATTATTATTATTATTCGGATCTCTGTTTCTAGTCTATCCTCTATTACTATTTGGATCACTATTTCTAGTCTATCCTCTATTACTATTTGGATCACTATTTCTAGTCTATCCTCTATTACTATTCGGATCGCCATTTCTAGTCTATCCTCTATTACTTTAAGGAAAGCTATTCTCTATCCTCTATTCTCTACTCTACACTATTCTCTATTCGGTTCAATACGGTGGTTACTTTTCGAGCGAATATTATCGAGTAAGTACTATTACCGCGAGGGATATTCGAAGGCGTCTGACACCAGTATTGTTCAATGGCGTTACTATAGTTGCTTTCTGAGATTACAAAGTCTTTACTACAATGAGCATTACGAAAGTGACAACGAGTATTCGTTGACGTTACAAAAGTGGCAACGATTGTTCTTTGACATCACAAAAGTAACTATCAACTTTTTTCTTTTTATTCCGACAAATGCCATTGCAAAAGGCAAGTCCAATGAATGCTCATCTACCAAAATTATAACACACCAAAATTTCCCCCAAAATAAATTTCCTAGTTTTTTTTTTGTTTTTTTTTCCGACCGGAGAAGTCAATTTAAGTAGAAATAAATTTAATAATGTTCCCCCCCCCAAATAAATTTATTTTAATAATGTTCGACACAAATAAATTTCCTAGTTAATTTCTTTTTCCACTATCTATTTAAATATTATTATTGTGCAAAGTCGATGGCTCGTGCGTTTTTTTGTTGTTTTTTTTTTAAATCAAAACCTAGCATCAGTGAAATCTATCAGTTTCGCTACAATTAAAATCTGGCTTCCAGAACTCCCCGATGTTATCAGTAAAATAGTAGGTCAGATTCTATAACCGTGGTCGGCAACCAATACAGAAGAAGGATAAGACTGAATTCGATGGAATAATGGATAGCGGTTGGGATCGAGGAATCGGAGAGCCGAGTTCGAATTCCAGTCGAATCCATCACATTCACTTACTTGCTAACAATCTTGGGAAAAGTACGAATCCCCTTCTTCTCCCCCCAGCTATGGGTAAATAGCAAGGCAAACCGGGTTCTATAGCCTTGGATGGCAACTTGTCTACAGCAGAAAGAAATGGCTACCTACTGCAGGAAAAAATCTGCCTTTTCAGTCATGTATCGAAAGATACATGATCGCCTAGGCGCTTATCACGCATGGCACATAACTGACTAATGTGTCTCTCGCGCAGTATAAACCACAGGTTGGCTATGTGGGTATTAAAAAGACACAAATGACCATAAACATAGGCATGTTTCGAAACACATCCTGAAGATGAGAAATCACACTGATTAACAGTGTGTCTTCGTGTTGAAACAGCTCGTGTGATGATGGTGATGAGTAAATAAAGCTTGTCATTCTAGGAAGGCACTCCATGAAGGAAAACCGATGACTTGAGGTCGTACCTAAACTGGGAAATGGCGATGGGAGTAAATCTGCAGTAGAGGCCTGAAGATGCAAATCTTGCAGCCAAGACTGCACCTCTATTACTTTGGAGATTGGCTGTGCAGCAAACGGCCGACGTATACCATTGCTCAAGCCTGCGTCCTGAAGAAATCATACGTTTTCCCATCATTGGACTGAATTTGGACCAAACTGGTTCGCTTCTATTTTCCTCGCGAAATAAACGGGTGTCTAGTGTAGTAGCGTTAGTATTAACAATTTTTTTCCATATCATTGAAGCTGTTGGGAAACATATGAGCGCCGTAATATCTTCTCTATCATTTCTTTTTTTCTTTCTTTGTTTTTCTCACTGAAAGCAAACAACCGCACTAGTATCTTTTCCATCGTTTCTCGAGATCAAAGCGGAATAGTCCATTATTTATGAGGGCGTAACGAACGTGCTAACTAAGGAACGACTGAACAATCAAATTTATAATGATTCTTGCTACTTGTGTTAACCTATCTGAGCAAAGAAAAAGGGCGTTCTCTTAACTTTAAAGACTATGGCCATATCATGTTGAAACACCAGTTCTAATAAGATCAACAAAATTAAGTAACGTTGAGCTTCGCTTTGCTTTTTATTATATTTTACAGTTTTTAGAATTTTCTGATGCACCATGTCATAATCATTTTATTTTTCCTCAACAGACAACCGTATTTTTTTGTTTTTTTTTTTTGTTTTATCAGTCAAATTCGAGGCTATTCCTGTTTCAAAACGTAAGATCATGATTTTTAGACAAATGAGACACGAATTGTAAATTATGACGACATATTATTGAACACCTCTCCGGATATAATCTCACCCTGGAGATGAATGGTTATGATTATATCACGTTAAAATACCAGTGCCCGTAAGATCACCGAAGTTAAACAACGTCGAGCCAGGTCAATACGAAGATGGGTGACCGCTTAGAAATATTAGGTGTTGTAATTTTGAGTGGTATAATGGCTCGGAAATTTTGACCGGTGAACCGAGTTCCAATTCCAGTTGGGTTCGTTATATTCATTATTGTCCCCAGAAATAAAATAAAATATTTATATTTCGGCATTAAATAATCCAAAAAGGTGTTGATATGCCGTTAAACCAAAAAAAATAAAAAAAAATAAAAAAAACAACCAACCTGCTTATATAGTTGTATCAGTAAATCTTTATTATCGCCAAAAATTATTACAATCTAAAAATATTTTCTAGTGTTAAATAACCAACAAAAAATCATAATTGTTCGGATATGCAACTACGCTATGGTAGCTAGGCTTTTTTGAATTTAATCGAGATCTCATCAATTTACAGCTAAGCTGCTTAGTTGTAACCGTAAATTCTATACTAACAGTTTCTTTTCTTCTCACTTGTGGATCTCCCTTCCGGTTCCATGCTTTCCATCAAACATTAATCTGGAAAAATTTAAATCCTAATGTCAATCGTTATCTACTGTCAGCCTAATTACTCTTTCCTTTTCCACTCATTATTAATGTTTCTTTTCCTAATTCCTCCACACCCTGTAACCCATTATGTCTTAGTGGCTTTATTGCCTTGAATGGGGTGATGCTGATTGAAAAAAAAAGATAGATAAACAGTTAGGAAACAAATCAATCAAACGCTTCTATTGGTCACCACGTAAAAAACAAACTCTGCGTCGTTATATTTGAAACCGTCAATACTCGTGTATATGTTACTGTTGCTTCAGTCATGATAGTCGATACCTTTACTCCGATTATTGTAAGCTTTTTTCATAATCACCCCTACCATCACCGCGATATCGATGATAATCGAACGATTCCTTCCCCTTCCTCAAACTCTTAACTAATCATTTCGACTACCAAAATCACTACCCAACTCTTTTCGGCCTACTCACCATCGACATTATTATTGCCTTTACCACTCACCACCAATCTCCGCCATTATCTCAATCATCGAATTATCTACCTATGCTTCCACCACTTTTGCCTCTCTCTCTCTTTCTCTGTCCCGACAGTAAGGGCGTTGCAATTACGTTATTGCGCCTCCCCGAGCTACCTCACCCTCCACCACCACTTCACAGTTAGCCAGACGTCAGGCGTTTATTTTAAGAACTTAGCATATATGACGTGTGCCATTTGTGACATCATCCGATGTTCAAATATTTTGATTCCAACAATATCTTTAATCAAGAGCGGGGCTTATTTCATTGCCATGATTTTGCCAGCGAGTGTTACACTGAAGACTTAGGATAGGCCCACTACATCACTACTTAGGTCAGTAAAGTGACTCCTTTACGTCCAGTCATATTTAGTGAGTATTTATAACTAAGAACGGATAAGGATTAAGAATTTTTCAAGAGGGTAGCGTATGTGGAAAGGAGGAAAAAGAAGCCGAAGGCGAGAAAAGCTGAGAATGAGATAAAAAGAGAAAAGAGAGAAATAGAGAGAGAATAAAAAAAGAGAGAGTCAACAGAAAGAATAAAGGCTGGCGTGAAAATAGATGAGAATAATAAGGGATATAGAAGAAAAAAGAGGAGGGACAAATACAAGGGAAGTAGAAAGAGAAAGGGTTTGAACTGATGGGAAATAGAGAGAGAGACAGAGAGAGAGAGAGAGAGGAGTAGAAGTAAAGATGAAAATAATTAAAGATAAAAAAAAGAGAGAGCAAGTAAAAGGAAAAAATGAGATTGGCGAAAGTACGCGAACCACGTACACACACACACACATATTTATGTATGTATATATATATATATATATATATATATATATATATATATATATATATATGAGGGTAAAAAGAAAGATGAAAAGAAGTGTAAAGAAAAGAGAAAAGATCGTTAAAGCCATAATAAAAAGAGATAACAAAACTAGAAGGGAAAAAGGGAAAAGTTTAAAGAGACGAAGAGAGGAGAAGAGAGAGGAAGAGGGCCGAAGAGAGATAAAGAGAGAGGAAGAGAGAGGAAGAGAGAGGAAGAGAGACGAAGAGAGAGGAAGAGAGACGAAGAGAGACGAAGAGAGAGGAAGAGAGAGGAAGAGGGCCGAAGAGAGAGGAAGAGAGAGGAAGAGAGAGGAAGAGAAAGCAAGAGAGGCGAAGAGAGAGGAAGAGGGCCGAAGAGAGATAAAGAGAGAGGAAGAGAGAGGAAGAGAAACAAAAATAACTGAAAAGACAGAACCTATGAACAAAGAGAATAAGAGAAATAAAAACAAAGGTAGAAATAAAATGGCGAAGAGAAGGAAAGTTGGCAGATGAGACAAGAGAGATGAAGAAGAACGGAAATGAACTTGAAAAATAGAGAGGGAGCTAAGATGGAAAAGATGAACGAAAAGAGAGATTAAATAATTTTTCAGGAGAGATAGAGAGAGGAGTTAAAAATAAGGAGAAAAGTACAAAGAAATAGTGCATAAATGGAAAAACGTTAAAAGTACAAGAGAGAAACACAGATACAATGACTGAAAAAGAGAAGAATAATTGGGGAGAGAAGAAGAGATAAAGAACGAGAACGTGTGAGAATGTAGGGAAATGATCAATTGGCAAAGAAAGAAAGAAAGAAAGAAAGAAAGAAAGAAGATATATAACATCGAAGGAAACGATGACGATGATGAAGAAGAAAAGAAGAAGATATAACATGAAGAAAATGAAGAAAAAGAAGGCGGAGAAAAAGAAGATATACAACATCGAAGGAAATGAAGAAGAAGAAGAAGAAGAAGAAGAAGAAGAAGAAGAAGAAGAAGAAGAAGAAGAAGAAGAAGAAGAAGAAGAAGAAGAAGAAGAAGAAGAAGAAGAAGAAGAAGAAGAAGAAGAAGAAGAAAAGAAGAAGAAGAAGAAGAAGAAGAAGAAGAAGAAGAAGAAGAAGAAGAAGAAGAAGAAGAAGAAGAAGAAGAAGAAGATATAACATCGAAGGAAGAAGAAGAAGAAGAAGAAGAAGAAGAAGAAGAAGAAAAGAAGAAGAAGATATAACATCGAAAAAGGAATGAGAAAGAAAGAAAAAAAAAAGAAAAAAGGGAAACATTTGATTGGGAAGAAAGTGAGTGGGAGAGAACAAAAAAAAAGATGTGAAATAACTAAAGCCAAACACAAAAGAAAAAACGACTGAAGAAAGAAAATAAAGATGGAATCAAGAAGAAAAATGTGAAAAAAGAATTTGAAGAAACAGTAGCAGACGATAACTAAAAGGAGAGATTAAAACAAAAAGAAACAAAAGACGGACAGAATAGGTAAATGTTTACAAATAAAGAAAAAAAAATGAAAAAGAAGTAAAAGAAAATGAGTCCAAAATTAAAAGGGAATTGTAAAAAGGAAAAAATAAAAATTGAAAGGTGTCAACACAAAAGTAAAAATAAAAAAAATAAAAACTAACAAAGATTTGACTAATGTAAACAATATAAGACAAAAGACTTGAGTATGGAGAACGAGACGCGGGGAGCTTTCTTTTTGATAGAGAGAGAAATAGACTGAAAAAGAAATACAGAAAGAGAGAGAATAAACAATACTCACTCATAAATATTCACTTTCCTCCTCCAAAGAGAAAAAATACTTGAAAAGCAAGGTGTGAGTTGGGTTAGGGTTAGCAAGACTGTCTGAGCTTGGGTTATGGTGTGTATCGGACGTGTCGGCTGCCAATATAAGGAGGGTAGAGTGAAGAAGTTTGATGAGGAAAGCACTGTAAAGGTACATGAATATATGGAAGACTTGAATAGATGGTCATAAGGCAAAGCGAGGTTCAGGTGTAATTTCTAAAAGACAATCAACTGTAGATAAAGACAGACACACAATTTAGGGGAAATACAAAGCAGGTTTGATTGACCATTACTACTGATGTGAATTCGATATTCACTGGAGGCCCCATATTTGTGGCCCTATGCCAAACTAGAAGAAAGCACAGTAAATAACATTAACAGAGAAAAATATGCGGGTAATGTAAAGGTAATCGAACCTGGAAACAGAACTGGCCAACGAAGATTACTAAGCTGAGTCTTCCTTGTGATTTAAACAATAGCAGGGAAGAAACGAGAAAGATTCATAGCGTTCGCAGTGGAATTTGTGTAAAAGTGAATGTTCGGTTGTAAATCAGCCCACTGAATCCATTTTCTGTAGAGATAGCAGTTACGTTGTTCCCAAAGGTGGCGTATATGAGGATGAAAAAATAATATTAAGAAAAAATACATCAAGCAAGCAATACAAACATTTGCAAATAACGTTAAACAAAAAAAAAATAAATAAAGCAGACGATAAGTTAACAAAAACAGAGACCGAAAGAAAGAAGGCAGTCACAGAATGTCATTGAACATTTATTAACATGCAAAAAAAAATGAAATAAAAATTCGAATACAATGAGAACCGATATGAAGATCTTTCGCTAGAAGTCATGAAAATTCACAAATAATAAATGAACACAAGAACGCAATCGCCCACATCCTGAAGAGACATGGTATTTAAAATAGGGATGTGGGTATCAAGGATTACTTGAAGCTTTATTCATTCTCGCAGATTAATTACAACTGTGTAGTTATTTTGATACTTACTTGATGATACATATGTTGTGTCATATCAGATATCTACGCAGGATTTAAAGCAAAAGGACAGATATGTTCGCACAAAAATGCAACAAACTTGCCGTGAGAATAATCTCACGTGAGGAGAAATGCAATTTTAAAATAAAACACACGTCGCAGTGGCTAGAGACTATTTCTCTTGTTACTCGAAGAATATTGTCTCACAAGCGCATTGGACATCAGTGGAGATGACACCTCAATTAAAAGAAAAATTGACTCGGCTGAAAATCTAGATCAATGGTTCTTTTTTTTTTTTTGCACAAAGCACTTTTGTCGCTATATGCCAGAAGATCATCCCCCACACCGCTTTCAAAGATGGTCCAACTCAAAAGTTAAGTCCAAATAATCTGCATATATTATTGAAAATCTACATTCTCTTCTATATTAGAACATACAGATTTACATGGGGGCAATTCTGTG